TGTGTATCAGGATCACCATGAGGGCTTGTTAAAACAGATTTTAGTGTCTATGGTCTCTGATGCCCTAGGTCTGGGCTGAGACCCAAGAACCTGCATTTCTTGCAAATTTGAAAGTGATGTTGGTGATCTGGGAACCAAACTTCAAGAACCACTTTACTACACTAATGAGGCGATACCAAACCACTATGCAATTTCCAAAGTTGAAGTACTTTCACATAAAGGTTACAACCTTGACATCATAACCTAAATTAGCAGTACCTAGTCTTAGACATCAGCTTTTCATGTTGTAGTTGTTACCTAATCCCACTTGTTGGTGGCCTGTACCATTTGGTGTTATAAATCAGCATAAAAGCTAAAACTCAACATTTATTTGCATTTGTATACTGCATTCTAGTATCCGATTTGCATAAAAACAAATATTTGAAAGGATTCTATGCCCTAAATAATGTTTTCTCTTTAAAACATTTTGAAAAATAGAGTTGCACCTGCTGTGAAAAGACTGAATAGCATCCAGACACTTTAAAAGGCACAGAAAGGGAAGTACTGAGTACTAAGAGGAAAAAAGGAAGCCTGAAGTTTTATCCCTCCTATGGAAAGGACGCTTAAATTATACTTTGCCAAATGTACTGTGTCCCCTGGGATTGTGCATTTCTGACAAGCATCTAGGTGATGCTGATCTGGTGGTCTCATATTTTGTGTAGCAAGACCCTACTATGATGTCATTTTTGCATATTTCATTCCATGTAAGTTTCAATCAGTTTTTAATATAAAAGCAGACATGATACTTGAACCCATATTTCATTTAAGGCAAAAAATACAGTAAGTTTTAACAGAACCCTGGCAAATTCATACAATTAAATAAATGGAAAAGTCTCCATTGGGGGACAATCAAGCAATATCCTAGGTAAATGCCTTTTGAAGAACAGCTTTTAAACATTAATGACATCATTCAAAATTCAGACCTCCATTCCTTGGTATGGGAGCCAAAAAAAAAAAAAAATTCAGACCTCCCATATCTTTGGCTACTTTTATCACTTCAAACTTTACTCCTAAAACTGAGCTAGAAAAGCTTTCCTTTACTGCAGTCGTGATTGGAGCAAAGCTGAAAATGTTTCTTTAGAAACAACTCAGGGAACTACTTAGACCCAGATACTTTTATAAGTGACTATAATAACAAAACTTTATAATGTTTTACATCAGTTTTAATAGAAATAAAAGAGGGAGTAAAAACAGCACATTTAATAGTGGTTTACATACCTGCCATGATGGCAAAAGTGATTCTAACTTGCATAAATAATATACTCAACATTCCACACTCCTTGGTGGTTCAAGCAATGCAGTTTATAAAATAAAACAAAAAAGTGACTATTCCGATTAAAGAAAGCATCAAAAACTAGCATTGAGAAATCAGATGAAAGGATCAACCTCTAACTCCTGGATGCCAGGAAGCAGAGTTTTTCAGAATCAAAAACAAAGCCCTAAGTAAGAGCTCAAGGCCCCACCCCTCAGGGGTCACATAGTTGGTGCTGTTGCTTTTAACTAATTCATTATTTTAACACATCAAACAATTCAGCCTTTTCTTTACCCAAAATTAAAACTAAGGACAGGTAACGCTCTTCAGAAATGCAAACACCCTGAGATAGCTCATTATCAGAACCTACACAGGGATTTGCTATTTAGGTACAGCTAGTGTAATTCATATTTAAAGTCATTTCATAAAAATAAAAATTGTCCCAATCTTCCCAGTTCCGTTTCTTCCTATGATGGTCACCAAAGTAATCTCTATTAAGATTCTTCTTCATTGCTTGAATGTAGAAATTGCTTAGAAAAATTCTCCAGCTCATTTTCAAGTTGAACAGCTTTATTTCTAATTTAAAAAAAGAATAAAACACCAATCTAATTATCATAAAGGTCAAGGAGAAAAATCCATTCCAAACAATCCTAAGAAAAACTCACTAGCTAGCTGCTCCTACATTTATCTGAACTCAGACTCAACCGTTATCAAAACACTTTTCAAAGCATTCATTATATGTGCTACTGCAGCTTTGCAATAAACAGACCTCAATGTGCAGTACCTAAAAAAAGTTATACTGAGATAAAAGATTAAAACTTTATTTTTTGGGTTTTTTTATTTTGTGTTGTTTTGTTTTTTAATAGAGACAGAGTCTTGCTCTTGCTCAGGCTGGTCTCAAACTCCTGACCTCAAAGGATCTTCCGGCCTCAGCCCCCCGGAGTGTTAGGATTACAGGCAAGAGCCACCGCACGGACCAAGATAAAAACTTTAATAAAGAATGAAAAGCATAGTAGATAGCAGGGTCACATCATCTTACATGGGATTTGTATCCCAAGTTACATACAGTCAAGACTGTCCTTAAAAATTTCCTTTAAAATCCTAGCTCTCTGGGAGGCCGAGGCGGGCGGATTGTTTGAACTCAGGAGTTCGAAACCAGCCTGAGCAAGAGCGAGACCCCATCTCTACCAAAAATAGAAAGAAATTAATCGGACAACCAAAAATATATAGAAAAAATTAGCCGAGCATGGTGGCGCATGCCTGTAGTCCCAGCTACTCGGGAGGCTGAGGCAGGAGGATTGCTTGAGCCCAGGAGTTTGAGGTTGCTGTGAGCTAGG